GGATCCTTTTAACTCAGCCTGTTTCACTTCTCCTTGTTTACAGCGTTGTGGTTTTATTGTGAGTCTTCAGGCGGCGTCTGATGTTTTCTGTGAAACTGAACCTGCCACTCATTTTCTTCCAGCCTGCTCTGGTAACAAACGGCTCTTTGTTCCCTCTGCAGGTGCGTGTATGAGAGCTGGCGCTGCGACGGCCAGGTGGACTGCAAGGACGGCACAGACGAGCTCAACTGCACGGTAATCTTGCCCCGCAAGGTCATCACCGCGGCAACGGTGGGCAGCCTGGTCTGCGGACTACTTCTGGTCATTGCCATGGGCTGTACCTGTAAACTGTACTCGCTCAGGACGAGGGAGTACAGGTAAGTCTTTGAATGGTTCTGCTGCGTTTTTGTTTGAGGTTTGCAGCCGAAGCTCTTCTGCTCTACAAAGTAGCTGCTTTAGTTTATTTTCGTTCCGTTGATGAAGCATAATGAGTCTTTCTTGCCACTTTTAAAGAAGAAAAGACTGACTCATATATTGTGCTGATAATCTCAGATGATGAGTCAGGAGATGCAGACATTGTTTTCCTAACTTCTGGCTTTAATTGCTGCCAGAACTGCCAGACAGTAACTCTCAGATGGATAGCACAGCCTCCTACGACACTGACAGTACACTCCACACAAAAACAAAAAAACAGCCTGTTCGTTGTTGTTGTCAGCTAAATGCTTGAGTTATGTACAACAACAGGAACCAATAACCTGCAGTGTATTAAAAGCTTACCTTTTTTTAACCTTTAATAGTACCTCTTAGAGTCAAATCTATTTCTAGACTTTATATTTGTATACTTTATGTGGATCTGCGTGATGCTTCAAAACAAAAACAAAATGTGCCTTCCAAGTTTGCAATGTGTGTGACTGCATCTAAAAGAGCCTCTATCCTCTCACAGCATGTTTGCGCCAATCAACCGCCACGAGGCGGAGCTCATCCAGCAGCAGGCCCCGCCTTCTTACGGTCAGCTGATCGCACAGGGCATCATCCCCCCAGTCGAGGACTTCCCCATAGAAAACCCCAATGAGGTGAGAGAGCAGAGCGCCAGAGATTTTTAACTGCCCACACCTGTCAGGATTTCATCAATCCAGGATCCTGTCAGGACTTTAGATCATGCTCATTTGTTTAAAGAACCCATGTGATTGACTGCAGCCTGTCCTGCAGAGTTACAATATACATTTAAGGCATTTAGAGGCGTTTTTTGAAAAACTCAAGTGTTGAAATTTCAGCAGGAAAAACTGATTAACTAACTTCAATTTTAATTAATGTGTTAAAACCTACAAATCAACATCTTATTGAAGGCTTTTTGATTTAAGGGCTTTAATAAATGTAATTAAACGCAGAAAAGCCGATAGCTGTTACTACATTAAACCACACACTCTAATGTGTAGTAGTGCTCTCTGTCTTAAAGCTCATCTCTAGCAGCCTTATTGATCCCCAGCTGGATGTGGGCTGAAGTTGTAGGAGTGTTAAGATGAGGCTAATGTGCTGTTACTGTGCAAGTTTACTCTGAGTTTACTCCTTGGTGAGACAGCTGAGGCAGTGGAGGCGGAGGGATAAAGTGGCTGGCTCTGCCTGATGGGATTAGCTGAAGCCGCCTACACTAAGCTCAAACTTTGATTAGTGTCGCGTAAATAAATTCAGCAGGTTTAATGATTTTTAATAATGATTTTAGGATGTTGAACACGAGCTGCTGAAGGTAGTTGAAACAATCTGCTCTGTGTTTCTTTGTCAGACCTCGACTCTTTCTCTGAGAGGAATCCTGCAGCTGCTTCGCCAGGATGCCGCCAGCTCCCCACACCGCAGACGTAGGCCCCGATTTATCCGCCGGGCTGTTCGCCGCATGAGAAGGTGGGGTCTGATCCCCAGATCCGCATCCAGGCAGACTCAGTCGTCAAGCTCCAACCAGCAGCAGGCGCAGCAACAGCAGCAGTCAGACAGCGCTACATCAGGCCAAGAAGCAGCTCGCTCCACGCCCGCGAGCTCCCCATCAGCCGTGGAGGCGGTCAACCAGCCGGTGGCCCAGAAACTCGGCTTGTTGGCACAGCCAGCGCAGCACCAGCTGGAAGCTCCGCCTCCTTTACTGGCGCTGCCTTCAGCTCCTCCTGTCGCCTTCCCCCTCCCCCTCCCTACGCACCCCCAGCTCCACCTGTGGACGCCCCCCACACTCCCCCTGTTGCCGTGCCTCCCAGTAGCCCATCTCTGGCCTCCATCTTCCACACGATAGGCTTGAGCATCTCCCGCTTCAGAGCCTCGCCCTCTTCCACCAACTACGTGCCCCTCTCTGCCTCGCCTTCCTTCTCCTCCTCCTCCTCTTCATCGGACGACGATGTGCTGCTCATCCCCCTCTCGGAGGACAACACTTCAGAAGACGACGTGCCCATGCTCACCTGAACGACTTCCTCACCCACCCCTTCCCACCCCCTCCCTCTTACTTTACCTCCCACCAGTCTTTCCACATTCGTTTGAACTGAAACACAGGAGCGGCCGGTGGTGGGACTCTTCCTCTCTGTGCCAGTCTGGTGCCTTTTTTTTTTTTTTTTTTAATCGCTTTGCGTTGCTGACATATATGAATAGAGTATTTTTAAAGAAAGAAAAAAAGACTTCCTTAAGAAAATGCAGACGAACGGCACGGCCGATGAAGAAGCGCAGATGAGTATTATGCGTGAGCACTTACTGAACGCTGGGCTGCACGTAGAAGGTGAACTTTTATTTTTTTGCACAGAAGAATCTTCCCTATCCAGATACTGAGGCAGGCTACTGTCAGGTTGAATGATTATAGCTCTTATAATAGAATTTGTTGTGTTTGTGTGACTGCGACTGTGTGAATGCAACTGCGTTTTAGTCTCGCGTAGACAGCGGAGTGTGATTGCACATGAGGAGTGTCTTCACTTGCACCCAGTCTCATGATATATCACGAAACAAATCCCCCCTTTTTAAGTGCCTTTAAGGAGCCTCCTGCAGAGACCTCAAGGATGTTGAGAATTCCTGAACACACACTGCATGCAGAAACACACACGCACACAATGAGGGTCACTTTTTCCTCACGTCGTCATGGTGACTTCACTCCAAAATGGATTTAAAAAAACTGCATGTGTACTCTTCAAGCTGGCAATAACTTTTTGGATACCCTCGTTCTAGTGCACATCGATTCCAACATTACTGCGTGTTTAAATACTTCTTCCCCCGGTGAATGAATGTAACCTTCAAAAAAACAAAAAGCAAACGTATCAAAAGACAATCTCTTTGGTGCCTGATTTTATGACGTGTGTAGGTGTGCACAGGAAGATGAGGCACCCTAGTGATAAAAAGGGTCGAGGGGGGGCCTCCAAATTCACAAAAGAACCTCACATCTGACGAGACTCAACAGCATTCGGTCACATTTCGACTCAGCAGACTTGTGGTGTGCCATTTGTAATATTAATATTATTACGAGTTTTGTGGTCTTTTTTTTTTTTCTTTTAGCAGGTTTTGTCTCTCTTTCCTTAAATTGTTCCTGTTTTTTTTTGTTGAATGTATTTTTTGGGGAGGGACAGTTTTAAATTGACAGGTAAATGGGGGGGGGGATTTTATTTGGGTCAACTTCACTGTATATAAGTAAAAAAATATGGCTGAGATTAAACGATTTGCACTTTTAGTTTTAAATTTTTTGTCTTTTTTGTGTTTTCTTTTTGGGGATATCGGCTGTGGGGGTGCCACCTGACACCTCAGTGAGACATGTCAGAGGTGTTTCTTTGTGCTCTGTATTCAAAGGATCTGTGGTAATTCACACAGACTCCCCACAGAGAGAAGGAGAGAGCTGTTCTTGGTGGGAATGCAGAAGTTGTGCTCATTGCTCTGGTTTTGAGGATAAAAGGAAAATGCTTTTACTTTAGAGCTCTGAAACCGCAGATGGACTGAGGTCGCAGCCGTCTACCAGGTAATAATACTGACTCCATTTAATTATTGAAGCGGTTTTCTACACAGCACCCCACGTGCAAGTTTCAACGCGATAACCTCTGTTTTGGCGACTCAATGATGACTCAATCTCCTTTACATCTAAAGAAAGCAAGATCTAAACGCTCTGCATTACATTCCTGTTTAACAGACCTCACACTCTACAAAACCCTGCACCACACAGTCCAGTTACACACCTGTTTGAGGAAAAACCTTACTTACTTCAGATTATTCATGATGAGGTTTCCCAACCTTTCTGTCAGATTGACTCATGCACTCTTTCTTCATCACTGCCTTTCATGTTTAAACTTGAACCAGCATCAAACAGGATCTGGACTGCTTCCTGTTTGCTGCTTAGTGTTTGTGCTTAGCAAACTTGCTTATCCATAGCTGTTCATTATGATTTCCATCCACTACTTTCTTCTTTAGCAGCTTTTCACTTCATTTAGTAACCACTTTCTATTCAGTATGTTTATTAAACAGTTGCAGCTATTAGCCAGCTTTTAGTGAGCTGAAACCTCAAAACCTTGATTTGTTTGTTTTAACTATTTCTACTGATGAAGTATTTATTTTAGTTAATCGTGCCAGCCCAAACTTGTTCTCTAGAGACTCTGAAAGTTGTAAAATGTAATTTACTATTATTTAAATAGTTTGAGTGAATCTATCCATGTAGCTGCTTCTGTGGACCTCTGATTGGTCATTACTGACCTAAGAAAGCTCAAAGCTGCAGACAGAAGAACTCAGTGTTTACAGTTACTTTATTATTTTAACTGTTCTGTTTGCAACATGGCAGCAAGATTTGCTATGATGGTTTGGAGACAGAGGAGGAGCTGGAGTTAATGATGTTACGCTTAACCCCAAATTGTCAGAATAATACTATTGATCCTTTTTTATAATCTGTACAAATACATGACACAAAGACAGAAATAAATAAAATCAAATAAATTCACGGCCATATTTTGGGATCCTCAGCGGCCATCTGAAACATTACATCATCTCCTCTTCCTCACTGTTACCCTGAAATAGGTTTCCACCATAACTATGGCTTCCCCTCCATCCTTGAACCTCTGGGTGGGGATTGTGCTGGTGGTAATGGTGGTCGTGGTGGAGCTCCCAGGAGTCCTGCAGAGGTGCATCTTTGATGAGCTTCAGGTCAGAGTGGTCAGCGCTACAGACAGCCCACCCAAGGAGCTCAGGCTCAGAAGGTCAGAGGAGCAGAGGAGCATCCTGGGAAAATCTGGCTCACCTACTCCTACCTCACCACAGCCAATGAGGATCCGGACCTGGATTCCGAGAGAGAGCGACAGCCTATCAGAGGCTGAGAAAGGAAGGCTGGAGGCAGCGGTGGAAGAAGCTGTGAGAGTGGTGTCTTCTTTACTGTCAGGTGACTGTTGAACAGAAACGGCTGGTGTGCTGTAGATTATTACACTCCACAAGTCTGACAACAAAGAAATTTTAATGCAATCAACATTCTCTTGTGCGATAACTGAATAATTGTGTTTTTTAAATAAGTAACACTGACTTTATAACACTGATGTTTTTATGTATTTATGTGAGCTTGTGCAGCATAATTTCATTCTGCATTGTGTCTTTGAGGTAGTGCTCAGTAACAATATAGTAAATCTTGGATCTGAAAACACACACACACACACACACAAACACACTACACACACACACACACACACACACACACTCATAAACTGCTGACATTTTAACAGTGAACAGAGTGCCGGGCCCTTTACTGCTCAGCAGAGACATCAACAAATACTGCAAGTTTCTCTGGAGGGATTCAAGTACTATCAACTACAACAGGTAAGTACAGACGAGTGTAGCTCCAGTCCCTCAAACAAACATCTCTGGCAAGATTTGAGTCGTTAAAATGATTTTTCCCCTATATTCTTATTTTACATACAACACAAAAATCCAACCAGCCAATCATATGACATGCAGTTAGACATGTACACATGGGTAAAAGGCACTCTTGAAATTTAACTGAGTATCAGAACGAGGAGGAAAGGTGATTTAAGTGACTTTGAAGGTGGCAGGTTGTTGGTGTCAGGCAGCTTATCTAAATATTTCTATATTTTCCCACAAACCACAAAACCAGAGTTTACAGATAATTATCCAGAAAAGAGAAAATATCCAGACGACTTTTTAATAAAAGCTGAGTATCATTTGAGTATTGTTGCTAACCTTCTGTTAGCTGCTTCCAGCTAACACACCATGTTTCAAAGTTAATGAATGCTCTCACTCTTTAAAAGAAATGTACACATTAGTGCAAGTAACTATGCATTTAAACTCACCAACAGGTTTGTATTTGCTCACTCATACTGTCCCGTATCTCTGAGCTCTATCAGCTGTCAACTTATGCAAATAAATGGAAATAAGCAGACTTTTTATTCTCCCAGGTGTGGTAGACCTAACAAAAACTACGGAAGTGAAACTTGCCTGGATGCGACCGTGAGTATCAAATGTTTTTGCTGCCACACACAGCATGTACTAGACTGCTGCTTCTGAATAATACAGTATCAACATCAGTAGATCCCAGACGACCACCTGGCTGGATGTGATATTTACCCCGAGGCCGATTCACACAAAAGGACTGTTCTCAGACCTGAAGGTGCTGGAGTCCCTGATACCGACTTCCTGCTTTACCTCCATGTACAGGACACAGACAAGTGCAGAGCAGAGGTGCAAACCTACAGATAACAGAAAAATCTTTGATATAAAACCACTCAAATCCCAGCAGTTCTAAAACATTTTGAAATTTCTACATTAAGTTTCTATTCATGATTGAAAACAGCAGTAAATTGTTGCTCTATTTGATCATATATTTCTCCACTTTCTTATAAGAAATAATTTTTTAAAGCGTCTAAATTAAACTTCGCCCACGTAGCTTTCACCTCTTCCTCAGTGTATCTTCTTGTTCCTCAGCCCAGTGTGTTGGCCTACGCTGTTCACTGCCAGACGGACAGTCACGGGCGACCTGTAGCTGGGGTGGTGGTCATCTGCAGCGACCGGCTGACAGGAGCCACATTCAGCCACCAGACTACAGTACAGGTACGATTACTTTTATGGATACATGATGTGAAAAGTGAGGTTTCTGTGGCTGTTTTAGCAGAGAAGGATGGATCATGATGACAGATTATATTCTTCTGTTCTCCAGACTGTCATTCATGAATTGTTCCATGCACTTGGATTTTCTAAGGATCTCTTCAGCACCTGGAGAGACTGTTACTCCTCCTCCTCTTCCCAAGGTTTTTAAACACATCATTTACACCACTTTATCCTTTTTTAAACTGTAATTTAACAAACATTAGTGAGTGTGTAATAACTGTGTAAAAATTCATTTTTCTTAAAGTGTGTGAGTGAGGTTATTATAATAAAATCTAACAACGATTGAGATTATATAAGCATTCATCCTTCCACACATGGGCTGGTGTCTTCAAAACGTTTGTTTACTTTACTTTGAAACTGTGCAAAGTGTGGACGAAGAACAAAAATTGGGAATTAAAAATGCAAATATTAAGTGGTAACACACAAAGAAGAACACTCAAATCTGATTAAAATGAAGAAAAAAATATTTCATTAAAACAAGTTAGAGTGTATTGAGTCTGACCTTCATTAAAGATCACATGCTTTGGTCAGAAGGTGGTTCTTTATCAGCGTTTTCTTTGCTGGATCCTGCAGTGGGTGCTGATTGTTCTCCTCGAGGCAAAGTGAGTCACTCTGACGGATCCGGCCACATGAGGATTTACACCCCGTCTGTCATTTCAGCCCTGCAGAAGCACCTGGTGTCCAGCGATCCGGAGCTGGGAGGACCACTGGAGAACCTGGTACTGCACAGCTTCCAGTGCAGAAAACTTTAACAAACTAAAAAGGAAACCTAACGATGCTTTCACCCCTCAGGAAGCAGCTCCAGGCAGGGTGTCCTCACACTGGGAGTCCCGGGTCCTGCAGGGCTCCATTATGTCGGCAGTGCTCGGGGATCCTAGCACAGTTCGGATCGACCCAGTGACCTTAGCTGCATTACAGGACACGGGCTGGTACACCGTCGACCTGAGCCGGGCTCAGAGTCTGGTCTGGGGAGACGGTAAGGAAACTGAAATATGAAGAAAATGCACTGAAAACTGCATCATCATAACAGGAGAATTAACAAAAGCTGAACATGGACACTCTGTGATCATACTTTTTAAATAATAAACAGTTTTTTTATGACTTATTAATAGGTGAAGGAGCCATGTTTGGCTCCCTGTCAACCTGCCAAGATAACTCCTCATCCTTCTTCTGCACTGGAAGGTAAATTAAAGTAATTTAGTGTTAACATATATTTTCATACAGAAATTCTGTCACTTTGTCCTAAATGTTTGTGTTATTTGTACTTCTCAGTGGACGTGGATGTCATTTTCTTCATCTCCACAAGGGGGAGTGCCAGACTGACCAATACCTGGAGGGCTGTCGAGTGTATAAACCCCTGCAGAATGGAGTAAGCTGAGTATCTTCGTGCATTCACACTAAACACTGAAGATGAGAGGACATTATTATTATTATTATTATTATTATTGTTATGTATTTATCTTTAGTACACGTTTTGAATCTCGCACTTCAGAGTGAATGCTGGAAAAAAGAAAGCAGCAGGTGGACAGCTGAAGATGAGCTGAGCGGGGAGAGTTTCGGCTTTGACAGCAGATGCTTTCTCTCCAGCCTCAGCACACAGGTGTGTGTGTGTGTGTGTGTGTGTGTGTGTGTGTGTGTGTGTGTGTGTGTGTGTGTGGTCCTCCCCTGTACTCTCTTCACCCTTTCTTTTGAATCCTTTGTAACTTCTCGTCTGTCTTTCAGAACCAGAGTCAGGTCAGCAGCTCTGTGGAGGGCCGGTGTTATAGGCACAGGTGTACCGGACCGAACAGGTATCAGATCCAGGTGTTTGGCTCTGAGTGGGTGGACTGTCCAGCAGGGGGCAACATTCAGGTATAATAACATAATGGCTTATTACAGTGTTATGTGTTTTTGGATGAGCATTAATTCAGAGTTAAAACTTGCAGTTTTTGTGCATTTAAACAGTTTCATTTATACAGATGTTTCTATTATTACCACATTTATATGATTAAGAGCATCTTAGTATAAAAACATCCTAATGGATAATACAGTCAACATCTCATATATATAAAAATTATTTATTTTTGCATCAGATTAACGGACACAATGGTGCAGTTTTCTGCCCTGACAGGAGGTTATGTCTGTACCCTGATGTGACTCCTCCCTTAGATGATGTCAGGACACTTCCTGCATGCATCAGATGGTGAGTACAACTTCAAACATGCCCCGGCGTCCGTTAAAGCAACATATACTTCATTTTAACTTCTCTTTGTCTGTGTAGTGAGACTTCTACCTCAGCCCATGATGGGACGTGGTCTCCCCTCAGACCACCCACAGACCCACCTGTATCCACAGCGCTGTGCTTCACTGCTGCTGCGTGTCTGCTGGCTGCACTGATGGTGTCCTGCTGGAAATGTCGCTCATGTATGTTCAGAACACGCATGGTGGCCCCTGACCAGCAGGGTCATCTGTAGAAAGCCTGTTCTTAGAAATGGGCAAAGACGAAATTTTTAATTTTAAAGTAAATTAAAAAACTGCTTTTACTTTTATTTCCTGGGGTGTTTTTATTTTCTACCTTTGATTGTCTCGCTGTGGAGTTCTCTATCAGCAGGGGAAGCTGGATTTATACTTCCATAAATCAGTTTTTATTTTTGTCAAATGTGATTTTGACGACTAAATGTTAGTTTCGTCTATCAAAATCATTTCCCTGTCATGGACATTTCTCTAACCTACACTTGTTTATGGCATTAAATACAATGTAAATTCAAAGAGGATGAGGGTAAACAGTAAAATAATCAAATATATGGTAACAAATTGTCAATTTTTAACTGTATTTAGATTTTTTGCACTGATTAAACCTCCAAACTATCCCCATCTTCACTTTTGAACATTTAGGTTCAGTAATTTAGAGATAGTCTTACTGCTGATACAGCAGAATCGAACGAGCAATTTCCTTTAAAACACTTCCTCTAGAACAGTTTTGTCATCTCACAGGAGTGACACAGATGACAAATGACCTGTGATTGTTATTGTAAGTGAGCATATTATTTCCACAAGATGCAAATGTAGATATGAATGTCATGACATGCCTTGGAAAAACGCGTGCCCAGACTTGCCGAGACTTACAGGACACAAAGTCAGCCTGTTTTCCCACCTCGAGGTTCTTTGTAGTCATTCATCACGAAGGGACGTGACAGAACAAACACCTGCTGGCAAACTGACAGATACTTTGAAACCAGTTTGGCAGAAAGCTGCTGCTTCCTAGTGCTGTGACCCAACACGAACATGATTGAATTAAACTTGTGCTTTTTAAATCTCAGCCTGTAGAATATAGTTTGGCTCACACCAACAGAAGCTGAGAGCAAAAATGATGGTGGTTCAAGACTTTTGCACAGTGATACACATGCCTGAAGTTGTTAAAGACAAACAATTAAAGAAAAAATGCTTCAGCATAATATGTATCAAACAAGTAAAGGAAAATAAATAATGCTTAAACATTTGAATGAACCAAAGACAATTTCTGAAGCAGCCCTTTATCCCAATCTTTATGTTTACCAGAAGGTGGACGCAGTGATTTCCCAGGTTAATGTTGTGTCACAAAACTGAAAGCAGTGATGTCCTCTTTCACAGGCTAATCAGAAACTGTCAAACACATGTCCATACTGTCTTCATACATGTATTTATGCTTTCAGACACACAGGGATATCGAAAACGAGACACAAGCAGGTTGTGTTGAACACGAGGTCTAGTTTAACAACCAATATTCTTTATTAGTAAAACTTAGTTTTTGCTAAATTACAACAAATGTTTATTCTAACTTCTTCTCTCACTGCTTTAAAAAAATAGCAAAAAAAATGTTGTGTTGTTGTTATAATTAATAAATACCATCTCTTTATTTGTGGCTAGATCAGAGAGGAGAGCAGCGTCAGAGTGAGGTCATCAGAGAGAAAATATAAAAAAGTCACAGTGGACTGGAAACGCAGCTGGTTCCAGTCTCTAACCAGTTTTCAAGCCTTTTTCAAATACTGTCAGCGGCTAATAAGAGTCGATCTATCTTATCCCATTTAAATGAGAAAAACAGCATCCAAAAGATATTTTTAAATAATAGAAAAGTACAAAACGTGTTTCATTTCTTGAAATCACAAAATCAAACCATTAAATGTTGAAGCCCACACAGCCTGCTTTAAAGGGTTGTCCTCGAGCTACACCAGTGAACAAGCATTAGAAGGTGAAGCACGGTCTGCAGTGAGCCTCAGGCACGCAAAACAGAGCTCCACCCTGCAGCGAGGACAGGAAATGTTTTTACTCTTAGTGCCATCATGCACCACCAGTAAACCCCTTTTTGAATGGGCTTAGGCTGAGGCACAGCCAGGATCCCACATTCCTCACATCCCTGACGCCGATGTTGTGTTCATGATTTCCCGCGGCTTGCTGATACATCACTGACCTCCAGGTAATTCATGACAGTGCTGCTGAGCATCTTTTTTTCAAAGTATTTGATTTCTGCAGGAGTCAGAAGAGCCATTTTACAGACCTCTTCATGTGACCACTCAGCATTGCAGTCAGGCTGGCCGCACACAAATCGGCTCTCACCCTGAGGGATCAAAAAAAAATCAGTTAAATGCATCTAAGCATGTTGACATGGTCAAAACAAGCTGCCGAGGTTCAAACTGAACATCGGAACGAGAAAGAAATTTAATTTAATTGATTTTGAAAGTGGCATGGGTTTTGGTGCCATACAGACTGATCTACTGCTGACCAACTCTAGAGTTTACAGAGAATATTAAAAAAGAAAATATCCAGTGAGCATCAGAAAATGTCTTGGTGATGTCAGAGGTTAGAGGGGAATGGCCAAACTTTGTTATGTTGATAGGAAGGCAACAACCCTTGTTACAACCAAGTTATGCAGAAGAGCATCTCTGAGTGCACCACACACTGAACCCTGAAGCACATGGGCAGCAGAAGACCACACCTGCCAGCTATGAATTGGAAACTGAGGCCACAATTCACGTGGGCTATTTTCTTGCCCATTTTGCAACCAGCCACCAGATCTCAATTCAATGCAGTACTTTGGGATGTGGTGGAATGGAAGATTCCCATCACGGGATCTGCAGCAACTGTGTGATGCTGTTGAGTCAATATAGACCAAAACATCCAAGGAATGTTTCCACCGTGTCGAATTATATTCTTTTAAACTTTGCCTTCAAAACCTCTGAAGGCAAAAGGAAGTCTAACAAGGTGTACTTAACAAATTGGCCAATGAGTTTATAATAGATTTAGAAATGATTTAGAAATAGATTTTAAATCATGCAAAGTAAATTTCATAATTTATGTGGAAAGTTGGGAAGATAAATGTGCAAGAAGGACAATGAGAGACAATGGATACTAATACTAATACTTCAGAATCTGATTAATAATAAACATGTGGTACCTGGTCCAACAAATGGTGACACCAGCTGGTGAGAGACATGGGGGTGACAGAATGACCGCAGGACATCCGGGCTCTCAGAGATTTATAATCTCTGCCCTCAACTATGACACAAAAAGGAAGACTTAACTTATAAAAATCTTTTTAAGCCCATGCTGTCAAATCTGAAAGTATTTATCTGGTTCTTTGACTACTTACAGTCCATATCATCGTCTCCTTCAACAAATGTAAGGGTGGTGTCGTTTGGGTCGTAACATTTCTCCTCTCCAGTCACCAAACTGGCGTCCAGACCTCCAGAAACGTCTTTTTTGCCCTTATCTCTCATCCTCCGCCGTGCATTTTCCAGATGGTTCTGCAGTTCGTGGTAAAGGTCCAGGTCAGTTTCCAAGTATCTGCGCCTTGAGGGATCAAAACCATCCCAAAGCCCGGTGCTTCCATCTATACTAGCAGGGCGGTTTTTCAGTCGGACGGACTGTTTTCTCTTCTGAGGATTTAAAGTTAAGCTCCTTTTAACTCTCGCTTGGTTGCTCTGGGGTCCTGTGTAGTCTGCGGTCGTTCTTTTCTTTGTCTCGCTGTTGCCCATCTTTGCCACGTTTATCTCCACAGGTGAGCGGCAACGGACACACACGGTTACTGGTTTCATTTACTAAAATCACGTGATTTTCAGTTACGGGGCTGTAACTCTCCGGTTGCACAAGACTGTGTGCCAAAGTGAGGCGCGACATTCCAGGTAACAGGAGGAGGACCTGTGGGCGGAGAATACACCTGGAGCACAGGTGGGTCCGTCTGTGAAGGTGAATGTCAGAGGGAAGTCCACACTGATGAAGAGCGTCACTGTAAACTGAAGAACAGAATCTGTAAAGAGTCAAAGATGTGCAACTTTCGCCTTTCTGAGAAATTTCTTTGGCGTTAACACATTTTCAATAATATAAATATAATAAAGTACAGTATATCGATCGGCCCTGCAGTCAGACGAATCAATCATCAATCTCTGTGCTGATGCTGTTTCCACTCAAACCGACCAGATTCTGTAACTTTACTCTGTGTTTACCGTTATAAGCTTTGCTCTCTGCTTCTGCTCAGCTGGTGACATCCGGGTGGTGTTCAGGGCGGATGTTGCTGTTATGGGATCAAACACGTCCATCATCCACACAGTGCTACTCCTGCTGCTGAGGAGATGATGAAGACGAGACCACGAAGAACAAGAAGATAAAAACGGGACTCTGGTTATTTAGGCTTATTAATCTTTACTGTGACACTCTGACATGTGCCATAATAATGATATATAACAATACATAATAATAATGTGTCAGAGGGACCTATTTGTAAAAAATATATCCGGAAGTCTTAACTGCTGACTTTTTTTATTTAGCACACTATAAAAATATATAGTGCATATAATAATTCGACATATTATTATTTTTTTGACAGGGGGAAATGGTGAACATAAACATTATACACTGAATAAGATGCATCTCATTAGACTGGAGCTCTGTCTGTTTTTATGAACTACATTTACATGTCTGCATTTTGTTTGAGGACATAACGCAGGTGTAGTGAGCTTGCTTTTGTAGATCTTCTTTTCCTGCGTGGTGTCTGTGAACGCAGCATGAAGATTCACCCCTCCCCTAGTTGTCTAATCAGAGGATTTAAGTGTTTGGGACTCATTTCTGTCGTAGATGGCGACGATAACATTTGCGTTGCAGATCGGATTAATTTCCCCAGAAAATTATTTGGCTGTGGTGAGTAGACACGTTTGGTGAGGTTCCCTCTTAAGCATTGTGAGTGTAAACACCGGGACACAACTATAAAGCAGCATTTAGGTTGCAGTGCGACGTCACGGGTGTGTAACTGGTGGCACCCCTTGGGCACTCCTCCCTGTGGGTTGCCTCCCCACGTGGCCGGTCTTTAGCCAAATTGATTTTTTTTGGAGGTGCTATTTTTAACCAGAACAACCTAGTGGCAGTGAATCTTGTACTTTTAAGCAATTTCTGGTTATAAAGTGTTTTAATAAATAAATATAAATTATTCTATCTGACACATGTTGCTTGACATGCATGCAGGAGGCAGTACTGATGCTGTGTAATTAAATAGGACTTCCTTGTGTTAAAAACACACCACTTATTTAGATCATGTTACTGGTAATTTCTGGGGGAACACCAAGGTGCTCCTAGGCCAGCCAAGAGATATAATCTCTCCAGCGTGTCCTGGGTCTATCCCAGGGCCTCCTCCCGGTGGGACCTGCCCAGAACACCTTAACTGGCTCCTTTTAATGTGGAGGAGTAGCTGCTCCGAGCCCCTCCCATGGCCTAACTAAATTCAATTCAATTCAGTTTTATTTATATAGCGCCAAATCACAACAATAGTTGCCTCAAGGCTCTTTACAGAAAAACCCAACGATCACATGACCCCCTATGAGGAAGCACTTTGATGACAGTGGGAAGGAAAACTTCCCTTTTAACAGGAAAAAAAACTCCATCAGAACCAGACTTATCTGCTGCGACCGGTTGGGATGAGAGAAGGAAGTCAGGACAAAAGACATGCTGTGGAAGAGAGACAGAGGTTAATAACAACTATGATTCAGTGCAACCCCCCTTTCCTGTCTGGTCCCTAGTGCAGGACCAATTTGCCATGGGAGACCCCTACCTTGGGGTCTAGCTCCCTGACAACAAACCCCCTGGGTTCCCTGGGACACACAAACCTCTCCAACACGATAAGGTAGCGATTCATGGAGGGGACTGAAACTTTATTGAAAAGTAAAAGGACATTATGTTGTCACAACTTTTAATTGAAATATTCATCTTTGTTGTATACCATTTTATCTCTGAACACTAAAAACCTTTTAAAAGCAGGAATTTTTTTTTTTTAATTTGCAGAGTTCAGGTGTGAAATTGAAAACAATGCAAAGAATAAGTTCATAGTAGGCATGCCATTTTCAGCCCCTTTTTATTTTTGTGCATATTTTTAGTCCGTGCAAATATACATTTTTTTTCTTTTTCATTGTTCTCTGTACATGATATGAACTTTGCTTTGGCTGTTGGAAGTCACGTGGAAAATATCAATTAAGTAATATCAGCAAAACATCAAGAGTTGTTATGAGAACATAAATGCTCTCAAAAAAGCTCCACTTGGCTCTGGCATTTATCATCATCATCATGTACTGTACTGCACATGCTGCTCTGGCACTGTTGTGAAACCTGAGCCTCCCTCTCTTGGTAATGCTATTCTCTTTGTTACTCTTTGTCTGTGTGCCACTTGGTCCAGATGTTCCACAGGTTTGGCCCCAGCAACACAATGAATAAATGTTATGTGTGGTGCAATGTGTCTCTAATAGGTTTTAATATAGTAGGTAAGAGTCAAGTAGATGCAGGGCACCACCTTTTGGCCAAACTGTCTCCCATAAGGTCTTTGGTATGGCTATAAATTTTCCTGTTGACTTTTCATGAAACTTTAAAAAAGACATCTGGTGTAGAATTGACACATTTTCAAGAAAAATGCCAGTCATGTTTGAAACAGGCTGATATCTTTTAGAAAGACCACCATGTAGATGTAGAAGTAGAATAACACTTTGGGGACATATAAAGTGGTAAATATGTTTGTTTGTTTTTTTTAAATAAAAATGCCATGTTTATCAGTCAAGTAGAATCAGAAGACAGACGATTGCTGATCTTTCTGAATAACTTTTTGAGTAACGAGATAAAATATCAGTTTACGTCAAAAATCAGTGCAAAAAGTGGATGCAGCATTAATCGTACCACTGACGAATGATTTGTGATGTATTTTCCCCACATAGTGCTTAAAAATGAAAACGTTAAGAATTGGACTGTGATGGTTATTCTCACTGTTTGGTTTTGTGTATTTGCTGTAATGCTTTGTGTTCTATGACAAGTACAAACAAATATCAATAGAGAGAGGAGAAAAGAGTCAAAAGCACTTGTTGTGCAAGGATTAAAACATGTCAGTCTGTAATCTCATCACCAGTTTTCACCCACGTCAGCAGGAAAACACCTCCTTAAGGTGCATGAATTAATTACAGTTTGTCTTTTTAAAGCGTAGTCTGTAGAATATGGTTTGGTTCACAATATTAGAGCCTGAGATCAAAGACAAAGATAAAGTTTGGAAACAGAAGAGGACCCCAAAACAGTTTCTTTCTATTAAGCAAAAGCTGATTTAGCACAGGGGTCACTATGGTCACCAAAATGGCAGGGAGAAAGCTTCACAGGAGTGGGGACCACTGTAAAAGAGGGAGAGATGCGTTATTCAAAACTATGAAGGTGAGTTTATTAATGGAGGACAGTGAGAAGAGATTGCTGATTTGGTGAGATGATGAGAGCCAGAGATTAATAATAAGTAATGATTTAATGCGTAGTGTGTATAAATGGGGTGATATGGTTTATAAGACCATTAAGATGGGGCCTGATTATTCAAGACTTTGTATGTGAAGAGCAAGATTTTGAATTCAATTCTGCAGGGAGCCAACGAAGGTAAGCCAGTATAGGAGAAATATGCTCTCTCTTGTCAGTACTCTTCCTGCAGCATTTTGATCGACTGAAGGCTTTTCGGTTTTTAGGACCTACTGATAATGAATTACAGCCTAGAAGTAATAAATGAATCAATTTGTTTTTGAGCGTCACTCTAAGACAGGATATTTCTAATTTTAGAAATATTGTGCAAATGGAAGAAAGCAGCTCTTCATATTTGTTTAATATGTGCATTGAAGGACATATCCTGGTCAATAATGACTCCAAGTTTCCTCACAGTGTTACTGGAGGCCATGGTAATGCCATCCAGAGTAAGAATCTGGTTAGATACCATATTTCTAAGATTTTCATGATTTTCAAGATTTCCATCTTTAAACTTAGTTACAGCACTTTCAGACAGACATCTATTGTGATGAAACGTATTCCCCGCTGCTGTTTAATCCCTTACAGTAAATTTAAATGTTATGCGAAAATGACAGGACAAGAGACGGTTTTCAGGAAATACTGTTAAGATATAATATGTTTATAGAAATGATGAATATAAACAATTATTGTAATAACCAGCACACACTGAAATATTATTTTTAACATTTATATGGAATGCAATGCTAATAGAATTCCATGTGTAAAGCATTTGTAAAGCACTAACCTGCACTATTAGTATTTGTCCACAAGGTGTCACAATTTCCAGCTCAACAGAGTTGAAATGAAATCTTTAAGGCCACAAGTTCAACTTCAGATCTTTGCTGGAAAATAAGCAAGCGCTCACAAAGTTACTGAATATTTTTCTGCAGCCATGAAAGTTTAAACGATAAACATTTCTTGTATGTATGTATGTATGAATATCTATCTATCTATCTATCTATCTATCTATCTATCTATCTATCTATCTATCTATCTATCTATCTATCTATCTATCTATCTATCTATCTATCTATCTATCTATCTATCTATCTATCTATCACCGCAATATAGATTTTAGTCTATATTGCCCAGCCCATAGGAGACACCCCCTAGGGTGCTAAGATCCTGTGGGACTCCCAGATACAGACGGACAACATTGTGATGGCTAATCAACCGGACATAGTAGACAAACAGAAGAAGATGGCCGTAGTGATAGATGAAAGCAACATCAGGTGATGTTGCTGTCCTAGGGGGCGTCTCCTAGTGCTGGGTGATATAGCTTAAAATCTATGTCG